TAATCCTCGTGACTTCGCAGTGAAGTATAGTTCTTATCTCCAAATACACGTCCATCTTCTTCCATATCAATTGCATGTTTAGGCAAGTCGATACGTAACTAGGAGCTCTACCTCTACTTCCCGTCTTCTTGCTGTTTTACAGATTTGAGTAAGGCCTTATTTGTCTTCTCAAAGTTTGTGTGGTTTTATGGGCTCTGTACAATTTCGTAAGGGCATCAGGCAATTTGGTCAGTTCCTTTTGCTCCTGACGTTGCTTTGTTGATAAGGGAGGCAAGCGTGGAGACGCAGAGGACAACCCCTTGTGTGATAGTGGCTGATTAGTGCCGTCCGTAAAACCCATTGGGGTGTGTACACCTATTGCCATCAAGAGGAGCTTTGTTGGAGCTGATTGCCTCCAAAGTACTCAAAAGTGACGTGTTCAGCGCAGATGTGTTGGTGTTATTACAGTTACCTCGGAGGCAACACGCGAATCATTGCTCCGGCCTTTTATGCTTCGCTTTGATTATTTTTATGATTTCCTCTACCGTACGGCTAAGGGTTGAATGACTCGTTTCGGAGATAAATTGACGTCCCCTGAGCACACAGACGGGCAAAAGTACGAAGATTTGAACCCATTTGCATTAAAATGCACTGTCGAGCAATATGATTCACTTGTTTATTCACCCGCATACATTTCACCCACCCGTTTCTTTAGCAATTTGAATAGCAACGGTTTGGGTGTATACACAGACACAGGTGGGGAGATGTACTTATTTCTCCCTCTACGGATCTTCTTGACCGGTTATCTATCTCTTACTATCCACCTGTTTAACTCACTTCCTCCGCACCTGACTGGACGGTGTGTTTGTTCGCTTCATAACTGGTTGTTATTTCGCGTGACACGGAAACGAAGAACGGTGAGCGTCGGCATCTGCCCATTGACTGGCCCCGCAGGCATGTCAAAAGCGGTCTCCCCTCCCTTCCACTACGCCATGTTGGTGATTAGACTAGACGCTCTTACGTACACTTTGCAGTCTATATTACAGTGATGAGCACGTTGGGACGACAGTCGAGGGCAGCGTTTTGTCCTCCTACACGTAGTATCCTTTTGCAACATTACACCTACAGTAGGTATGTTGTTTCTTACAATAATATTTGTATAGCGTTGGAATTTGTTTATTTTTTTTATTCACACCCTTGTTCCCCTTTTGTTCATTTGGTTTGGCAGTTAGTAAAGGTGCAGGTGGGACATGTTTGGAGGGAAAAGCCAGAGTAGTCTGTCTGGGGGCCTACCTGCCTCCCCGTCCGTGTCTTCGTCTCTCTACCTCTACCTGTCCATCTGTCTATTCACTCAGCTATCCATCCATTCATCTTCTGCCTCTTGCCCTACTTGCAGAATGTGTAGAGGTCAGTTCGGACAGATGGCTGAGATGAACCTGTCTACAATGTTTATGGGAAGTATTCAAATCGTCCACCATCACACCCACCATAGGCTTTTTAGGAGAATACTTGCAAAACATTAGAATTTATTTCTCTGACTACTTTCTTGCACCCCTTTTCTCTTTTTTTCATTCACTCTACCTGTCCCAGAAGGAGGGATAATGTTGTTATCATACCGTCAAGTAGTTTCGTGTTGGTGAAACCCAGCTATTATTACTGCTTAGTCTACATCAAGTGAACGGTTGGGTCTACTTAATGATGCACGAGGTGGTAGTGTTTGTTCAACGGTGGAATAGAGGAGGAATTTGTATTCAAGGTTTGCAGTCAAGCTGAAATTTGTTCTGAAATGATCCTTTGTGTGAGTCCACATTGTTCAATTTCCCATCATCCATTCCGTTGAGTCAATCAGTGTCCTCCAAATGTAACACAGTGTTAGCCTCCGCCTTCTCCACTATAATCGTGACGCAGCAGGAAAGATGGGGTCGTGACCTAGCAGAAGACATAATTTTGTTCTCCTTGCTTTATCTAGCTACACCATGAGTCGCCAAATTACAGCGAATTTTATCATCCTTATTTTTTGAACTTAAGGCCTCCCCATCTCTACCTAGACATCTTTAAAAGGTTTAATGCAACTTATCACAAGACCGTGGACTGAGACGAAATATCAAGCCCTGCTTACAGTAAATGTGAGATCAGTTGCTTGTCATTTATCTCTAGATGGCAATTTATCCATTCCAAGTGAGATCTGTCAACGATTTTGTGGATAAATCTCGTCGCCATGTTGATTTCCTGCGGTTTAGGACTTTTGGTATGCTTCAGGCGGCAACAATCGCACGAATGGGCACTATGGGTGCACCAAATGTCCCCTGGCTGTAAAATTGGGCAGGCTGGAAGACTGTCCAGTAAATCATGCGCTTTTTTCAGGTGTTTTCTAAGCATTGATGAGGGTCTGTGCTCTAGGTTTTTTGGCTAAATTAACGTTACCGCAAAGTACCCCAAGGGCCTGAGATTGGGGTCACCAATGCTTGGATGGAGGAACCTGCCTAGTTGAACAGAAATGGTTAGATAAAC